TTCTTAAAAAGGAGAAAATTGCAATATTTTTATTTGTGAAAACTAAGGTGAATAAAAAACTATAAATGTTATAGGAATTTTTAAAAGAGAGGTTGTGATAAGAAGTCTGCATAAGAAGTCAGGATTGCAGTAGTCACAAATGACTTCAATAAGGAGATGAGACTAGGTGTGTCTTGAAAGATGAGTATGATTTTAATATATGACAAAGAGATAAGACAATATTTCACAAAGCATTTATGACATATTAAAACATCATAGGCACTAGGGTTCACTGATCCTTAATCCTTAGGCTTTGCTTTTTTTTTTTTTTTTAAATCTGATTGAGGTATAATTGTCAAACTTGTAAGAGGTATTGCTTTCTTTTGGATTAAAATGAGGAGCTAATAGTCATGCCTAGATAAATGATAAAACTTCTCTTCCATTTTCCCTCCTTTCTTTCTTCTTTCAAATTTATGTTTTAAGTTTCATTCAAATACATTGCATTTTTTAAAAGCCAAGTGTATGTCAACAAACATTGTGGGAAGATCAACTTCTGGTATGATAGCATGAGGACCTGCTCCCTGGTGAAACTAGTGAAAATTATTAACACACACACACACACACACACACACACACACACACACATACACCCCTATAAATCCTCTAGAAAGGGTCCTAGGGCATACAGCAAATGAAGAAACATCTATTCAAGAAAATCAATGAATATTTTGTAAGAAAAGTGAGGTTCTGTGTTATTTAAACCAAGACTACTTCCTCCCTCCCCTACCCCAACTCAGTCAGGCAGAAACTCTACTCCAGACGGTGCAGCCAAGAACAAGGGCTCCCTTCCCCCCATCCTCAGTCAGAGTTTTCTTTCCAGAAGGAACAGAATATTGGCATTTTGCACCCTATGCCCAAGTACCTGTTGCTATGGCTAAAAGGTGGGGGCGCTCTTATGCTTCTCAGTCCCCACTCATGAGGTAGAGGCGCTATGTTGGATGTGGCTCTGCTGAGAGTACTGGGAGCCCCACTTGCCCTCGTCCCAGCTGTAAGGTGGTGGCTCCGATTTCAGGGGAGGCAATCCAAGAAGACCTCAAGCTTTCACACAGAACACTCCTAAGACAGAAGTTCATGATTGTTTCCACCACAGTTCCAGAGACCTGGCCCAGAGGTCTGGCTAGGGCATTAGGCCATAAAACAGAGAGTCTGCAATCTCTTTCCAAAGGAACTGGTTTCATTTACAAGAGTGTGGAGAAATTCAAGCCTAAAGGCACTTTAAAAAATAATGAAGTTTGTGGCAAAAGGCAATTGGGAGGAGATTTGTAGAACCAATGAAGATACAGGCTAAACTGTAGGCCAACTGGTTTTCAGAAGAGAATCAAGGAAAGAAACAAGTGGGAGAAGTCCTCCTGGGAACAAAACAAATATCAAACATTGACTTCTGGAGCTATTCCTTCAAAGGAGCCCAACTTTGGATTAGTCCCTAGAGCAATTTATGGTCCAGGACATGTTTGAAAATAATAGAGCAATCAGCCCGCATTTATGGACCTTAACAGAAAAAAAGGAAAGAGGGAAAAGAACTCTGCCAAAACCACCGTCATCCTAGAGTGACTGTGGGCATACCCAAATCTGCACCTCCCTGGGAAGCAACATCAGAGGCTTCATACTGTGCAGTGTTGGGTTTGGGGCAGGGGGGGATTTAATTCTAAAATAATCCAGACATTTGCTAAATGAGTAAACAGGCAAATAACAAGCCTGGTGGAAGGTTGGGGTGTCTCTGTACCCAGAGTTGCTACAATATATTATCTAAAATGCCTAGTTTAAAACAAAAAAATTATAAGACATGCAAAGAAACAGGAAAGTATGACACATACACCAGAAAAAAAGCAGGCAACAGAAATTGCCTGTGAGAGTGACAAGATATCAGATTTAACAGGAAAAAATCTTTAAAATAGCCATTACGAATATATTTAAATGACTAAAGGAAACCATGATCAAAGAAGTAAAGTAAATATAATGGCAATGTCACATCAAATAGAAAATAGCAATAAATAGAAATTATAAAAAAGAACCAAATAGAAATTCGTGAGTTGAAAAGTATGATAGCTAAAATGGAGAATCCACTGGAGAGGTTCAACAGTAGATTTAAACTGGCAGAGGAAAGAATTAGTGAACTCGAAGGTAAATGACAGTGGTTATGCAGTCTAAAGAACAGAGAGAAAAAAGATGAAGAAAAATAAGTAAAGTCTCAGAGAAATGTGGAACATTATTAAGCATATCAACCAAACTATGCATAGTGGAAATATTGGAAGGAGAGGAGAGAAAGGAACAGAAAAAATATTTGAAGAAATAATGGTTGAAAAGTTCCCAAATTTATTGAAAAACTCTAACCTACGACCAGTAAGCTCAACAAACTTCAGTTAGGATAAATTCAAAGGATCCACAAACAGACACTGCATAATAAAAGTGCTCAAGTAAAAAGCAAGAAGAAATGTTGAAAGCAGCAAGGAAAAAATGATTCATCACTTACAAGGGAATCCCAATAAAATTAATAGCTGGTTTCCCAGTAAAAACAATAGAGTCTAGATGGCAGGATAACATATTTGAAATGATTTCAAAAACTCACTGTTAACCAAGATTCCTATATCCAGCAAAGCTATACTTCAAAAATAAAAGCTCAGATTCTCTCTGAGTTCTGGGTCATTGGAGGTGACCTCATAGCAGACATGTCTTTTTGGATGTCCCAGGGGATCTCAGATACACTATTTCCCAAGCTGTCCTCATCCTCATCTTCCTTAATGTGCTTTTGCCTCCATGCTCCCCACCTCAGTGAATGCGCCACCCTCCACGCAGCTGCTCATTCCAGACTCCTTCTCCCACAGTCCCAACCTCCAAGTGCAAAAGCACCCCCCAACACCCCTCTGTTACCTTGCTTCACCCCATTTTCTTCAACTGCCTCTCTACTATTCTGCCTACCCCCACTCTCACCCCCTTTCTGATCCATGGTACCCACAGCAGCAAGAAATATTTTCCTAAAATGCAAATCAGATCACGTTTCTCACAAAAACACACACCCTCGAGACCCTCAGGTTTCCCCATTGCCTTCCAGAGAAACGTTCACGTAGCAAGTGGCAGGTAGCAGGGAAGGCCTCTTCCCTTTCTGGTCCCCGACAACCCATGTAGCCTACCCCTCTGCTCAAGCCACACCACACTTGCTATTTCTGAAATGGTTTTTAGCTTTTTCTGTGCCTACCTGCATGTTGTCTACTTTGCCAGCGGTGAAGTTCCTCCCTTTTCTGTCCAGTGAATATCCACACCCTTTAAGACACAGTCTCAAGAATTGCCTCTTCTAGAGAAGCCTCTCCTGATCCTCATTGCAGGTTAGATCTTGTTGTTACATCTTGAGGATACTGGACCACCTTCTCCACAGCATTTATTACCTTGCATTGTAGTTTTTCCTTTCTTAAAAAAATTTTAAAACGCCTTATTTGTTTGTTTTTTTATTTGTCTAGCTTCCTCACTAGAATGCTTACCTGTGTATCTCCAGTACCAAACTCAGTCCCCGGCACATAGTAGGTGCTCGGTAGATGTTTGTTGAGTGAACATTGAATGACTAGAATGCACCAGAGGAACTTGACAGGAGATAGAAAGAGAAGTTATGTGGTTATTAGAGTGACCCAGGAAGGAGGTGACAGGGCCAAAACCAAGGCTGGGACAGCAGGGATGAGGAAACAATAGGATTTATAAAGACGTTGCCTTGAAATCTGCAACACAGGCTTAAACCACAACAATAAGCCTGTGTAGTTTGGGGCCCTATTTTATGTTGGTGCAGGAGGGCACCCGTGGGTCGTGGCTGCTCTAGAAGCTGCTCTGTGAGCAGGCGCAAGTTGAGGCTTAATTTATGGGGACAGGGAAGTATCAGTGCACCTAGTCACTGGCCAGCACTGCCTCTCCCACCCCACCTGGGACCCGTCAGGGCCTGGGGTGCAGCAAGAGGTTTGTGTATCAAGAACTAAACTTTGGAGTCACACAGTGTAGGGAGGATAACGGGGAATAAGGTATGAGAATATTTGGGATGAACCTTGAAAACACTGTGCTAAGTGAAATATGCCAGACACAAAAGGACAAATACTGTATAATTCCACTTTTATGAGGTACTTAGAGTTGTCACATTCATAGAGACAGGAGGTAAAATGGTGGTTAAGAGGGGCTGAGAAGGATGTTTGCACCGGGGCCCAGCCTATCCCAGCTTTGGGCCCTCTGTAGTAAACATGCCCTAGGCAGGGTCTGCTTGTGCCCTAGGCATCTCTCCATGGTTGGAGCCAGCCTCCAAAATTCAGCTGTAACCCAGCGTGCAGCTGGAGGTCTGCTTGCTGGGTCTTCATCTCTTCAATGGTGGTTTATCATTAAGGCACCTTTGCCGTAGGCAGAGAGGATAGTGAGTTCGATCCATAAACTTTCCCCCATTCTACTCACGGCTGGCTGAACCCTGACTTTGGGACAAAACTGGGTCAGACCCAGGGAGCAAAGAAGGGAAATCCCCTTACTGGGGACTTGGAAGGACAGACAGGGTGTCTGGGGGAGGGTCAGGGATGATTCCAGGCCTTTGAAGGAGCCATGCTAGTCTTCTGACTTCAGAGAGACAAATGTCCCAGAGAGAAGCCCAGAACTGACTCTATCATTATTCCAGATGGAGGAGCTTCCTAACTCCCACGAGCCTGACACCCACAGGAGCACCCTTTTTGCCACCTTAAAGCACAGCTGCAGCTGGAACAGCAGACCTAGAAGCTACCTGAGGAGTATCCCAAATCAGCGATGCCCTCATTCCCAATGCTGTGGTCACCCATAGCTAGTTAGGTCAGAGCAAGGACCAGACCCTATGTCCCCGTCCAGGCCATGGCCTGTTCCATTTATATCTAGTGGCTTGGGGAATTAGTCTAGGGCTGGCTCTGTCAATTTGTCAGATATATATGTCCACGATTTTTTTTCTGCAGGAGCTCCTCTGGTGAAACAAGGATAACATGAATTACAGGATGTTCTCCCTTTGGGGGGGCATCTTTTCTATCCTCAATACCATCCAGTTCCTCATCTTTGACTTGAACGAGATTGTCATCTTTGACTATGAGGATCACTTCTACATCTACAAGGACATGAAGGTTGGGATAAGCTCTTGGGTCATAAGGAACAAGAATATCATCAGCATCAGTCTATCCAGCATCACCATCATGGTCAGCGCTTTGCTCCTCTATTGTGTCCACAAGAACAACTACATGGGGTTGCTGTGCTATTCCGTGTGGATCGTCATCTACGAGCTCATCTGCTTCTCCGCAGTCCTGCTCATGAACAGTAACCTCAAAGAATATTTCAAGGAGCTGAGTTACCTGCACTTGATTTTCCAGATCTCCCGCATGTTCCTGCACTTATTCTTTCTGCCCTTTATCATCCATTATACGTACATCCTTTACAAGGACCCCAAGACTTCCAGCAAGACAGGCCGTCGCAGGTGCTCCTCCATCAGCACGATAGACTCATGGCCAGCCGTCGGGCTGGGAACGTTGTGGCATAAGTTAAACTGAACCGTGCCAGGAAGACGAGAGAGAGGGGGACAGCGCTCCCCAATGATGGAGTCTCCCTTTCCCTGCTTGCCCTCGGTTGATTCTGCTTGCTTTTTGGGGGGTTCTCGAGCTTGTGCATTTAAGAATGCTGGCGGGAGGGGCGTTGTATGGATCAATTATTCTGCCTTTGTGTGTCTGTGACTTGTTTTAGCTTTGAATTATACACTGCTTTTGAGCTCACTTACTCATCTCATAGGTGTATGCTTTTGTCTCATGGTCCCCTCCTCTCCGCATGTCTTCAGTTTCTAATTTTCCTGTTGTGGATTGCCCACAGATACCTGGTTCTGCTGAGTCCTTTTAGAGCAGTGCCATCCAATAGAATTTTCTGTACGGATAGATATGTTCTGTCTCTGCACTGAGCACTAGCTACAGGTGGCTATTGAGCACTTGGAATGTGGCTATTACAACCCAGGAATCAATTTTAAAATTTGATTCCATTTTAATTTACTTCAACGTCAGTAGCCACATTTGGCTGGCTCGTAGCTACTATATGGGAGAGCACAGTAATATGGGGCCTTGTTTTACTCCTGCGTGGAACCATTGAAAGAACTCCTTTCCAGCATCATGCATCAGTCTGCTTTCCTTGTACTTTTCTGAAAGCAGTACCTCATGTTGGTTCATAACATGGCAAGAAGAATCCACTTCAAAAAAGCTCCAAAATTTCTCAATTTAAGCAATCTTAACATTTTGGACTGGATAATTCTGTCTTGTAAGGGGGCCGTTCTGTGCATTGTAGGATGTTTAGCAGCATCCCTGGCCTCTGCCACTAGCATCCCCCACCCTTGTGACAACTAAAAATATCTCACGGCTAAATGTCCCCTGGGGGAAAAGTTGCCCCCAGTTGAAAATGATTATTTTAAGGCAATACAGCCCAGCGTTGAGAGCTGGTATATCACTACTGTTAACTAATGAAGAGCATCTTTTTACTGAGAGCCCTTTACACTCACCACCTTGTATGGTTTTAATCCTAATGTTTCCATTTTATGGTTTGATGAAACTGAGACTCAAGATGCTTAAGGGATGTTATCAAAGTCACATAGTAGCAAAAGCAGGATTTGAATCTAGATCATCTGACTTCATACAGGAATGTCCTACTTGGTTCCCTGAAGCACTCTCTTACCAAGATAAAAAGAGGGACCTCCTTTTAGGATATTTCCTTTTCCTTCAAAAAAATGTTGAAAATGAAGTCAAGGGACACTGTATTTACCACACTACCCCAAACCATGAGCGTAATGACAGTAGTCCACTTCTACTGAACACTTAATAAGTGCCGGGTACCATTCTAACAATTCACTCAATACTTCTCACCACGCTGGGAGGGATAGATTTGGACCCAGATCAGTTCCCAAAATGACCACCAGGTGGCAGTCAGCAATAAGCTTTTGCTTAGTTTAGATCCTCTAGGGATGGCTGATTTGGGATTTAGGGAGCCTCAAGCTGATGACTGAGAACTAACAGTGTGGGTCCCCGCCCTAGTATCACAAGATGTGCCTTGACTGGTTGTGACTTGTGACTGGTTGAAACAAAAAATAAAACCTGAGCAGACTTCAGGGTTCTGATACCCCATCTCACCTGGGGTGTCAGTGGGGAGGCTGGGAGACTGGAGACCAGTGTATAGAAGAGGTGGAAGGAGAAGCAGAGTTCCAAGTATCAGCTCAGCTAAGAGTTTCTTGGTACAGGAAAACTTAGGATGTTCAAATACAAGACTTCTCAAAAGTGTTTGCATCTGCCTCCACTTCCTGGCTTCCCATTCTCTCTAGAAACCCCTTCATTCCACTGAGTAAGGTTATCTTCATACTCTCTGTCCTGCAGTTTTCTTTCTTGGCCAACAGTTCACCACCAGGGCTGCCACTCTCCATTCTCCACCTACCTGGCTGGCTTTCTCCCTTCATCGCCTTTGCAGGCTCTCCCTCATCTCCCTGACCTCCAAACATTGCAGTACTCCCGGTTCAGTCCTGTGTCCCCTTCTCTCCTCTGTCTCAGTCACTGCCAGCTCTCCTCACTCAGGCCCATTGCCATAATCCCTGTATGACATCTCCAGCCTGGACCTCTCCCCTAAACTGTGCACTTGACCCAATTGCTTCCTTGCGGTAGTAGGCGCCTACAGCACGGTTGCTAACGATGCCTGCCCACTGATGTTCACACTCATCACCTCCCCTTAATCTGGGCTGGACCTAGTGACTCTTCTAACAAAGAAAGCACAGCAAAGGTGACACGATGTCACCTCTAAGATTAGGATACAAAAAGAGCATGACTTCCGTGTTGCTTGCTCTCTCTGAGGGAAGCCAGAAGCCGTGTTGGGAGCATCATGATGGCCCGCATGGCCAGGCAATGACGTCTCTGGCCAACAGCCCCCAGGACCTGAATTCTACCAACAGCCATATACGTGAGCTTGGAAAACAGATCTTCCTCCCGTCAAGTCTTGAGGTGACCACAGCCCTGGCCAAACACCTGGACTACAGCCAGAGGATCTATGCAGGCCGTGCCTGGGTTCCTGACCCACAAAATAAAAGCGCGTTCTCTTAAGCTGCTGAGTTTGGGAGTCATCCGCTACACAGCCATTGATAACTAGTCCATGTAACATCTCTACATTAGTGCCCACTAATTCTCACTCATGGTTTTCTCCCATAGACCTGCCCTAACTCCCAGTCTTTTCCATCTCTACCCTCCATTTGCTCAGGTCAAAGACCCAAGTGTCTCTCTCAGCTTTTATCCAACCCCCAACAAACCCCATCATCTTTATCTGTACTACAGATTCAGATCTACCATTTCTCATCACCTCCGCTGCCACCATACTACCTCAAGCCGTCACCATTTTTATATAAGCTATTGCAATAGCAGTGTCCTAACTGGTCTCCTCAATGCCACTCTATTCCCTCTACAGTTAATTCTCTAGCCAGCAGCCAAAGGGATCCTGTTGAAACCTTAGTCAGCTCATATCTCTCCTCTACCCCACTACTCATGTTCTGCAAGGGCTCCCGACCACACTCAGTAAAAACCCTGTCATGCTGGGTGCTAAGTGATCCAGTTACCTGTCCCCCTGCCAGTCTCCTTTCTAACCATTTGGTCCTCCCTCCTGCTCCAGCCACACTGGCCTCCTTGTAGCTCCTCTTATACACCGAGCACACTCCATCTTCAGGACCTTTGTACTTGCTGTTTGGTTTTTGTTTTTTGTTTTTTTCAGTCTGGAATGATCTTACTCTAGATACCCACTGGCTTCTTCTTTTGTTTCTTTCAGATGTCTGCTCAGAAGTCTTCAGAGAAGCCTTCCCTACCAGCCTATGTGAAACAGCCGCCCACCATCTCATTCTTCTCTAACCCACTTAACCTGCTTTACTTTTTCATAACACGTATTATCACCTGACTTACCTCCCCATCCCTCAAAACTATGGGCACCATATTTTCTTCATTGCTGTTTTCCCCACACCTAGAACAACTCCCAGCACATAGCGAATATTTGTGGACCCAGATCCTGAGCAGAATAGAATGGCCTGTGGTTCCTTGTGTTCTGTAACCGGTGGTTACGATGGATGGGCCGGTAAGGGGCAAACTCCTACTGCTCTTTGGCTTCCTCTTCCTATTCCCTTCTTCTCTCACTCACTTCTGGAGTCTCTGGTAAGACTAAGGAGTTATAGGTGGAAAACACCCACAAGGGATCTGATTTCAGCTTCCTCGTCTCTTTCCTTCTTCCTAACCCTTTTCCCTTGCAGCAGCTGCTGACACTAGAAATACCACCTAATCCCCCAGATCCACCTCATCTAGCCTAAAACTAGCCCTTGGAACAACACAGGTGTCCCTGGAAAGGGCAATACTCTGAGAGCTGTCACCTACCTCTGTGAAGAGCTCCAGCTTTCCAACCTCCCTTTCTTCACGAGGTTTACCGAGTGTCTACTGCATAGCAGGCCATGAGCTAAGAAGTATGGAATACCCTGGAAAACAAGACACAGCCCACATTCCCAGGGGCTCCCAGACCAGGGAGGGGCTGGGTCACTCAGGGCTGTTTTTGCCTAGTATGATGGGTGCTGGGGGGAAGTGCTGAGGGCCACAGGAGGAGTCTCAGCTCTTGGGTAGCGGAGAGTCAGGGAAGCCTTCCTAGAAGAGGAGCCCTTTAAGCTGAGTCCTGAAAGAGAGTATGATTTAGCCCTGAGAAGGGAGGGGAGGAAATGGAAAGGCGGAAGCCTGAGAAGGTACAAATACCCCTGGGATAGTAACGACGTAAGCTCTTATTTGTCATTTCCAGCTCAGGGTGAAGGAAGGGGCTCTGTGTCAGGAGGAAGCAAGTAGGCACAAACTTCCCTAGAGAGCAGAGAGTCTCTCCTTTTCCCAGGGCCTCTGCTGGCTGCTCCGGGAGGCTCTTGCTTTTTTCAGTATATACCATTGAATGTCTTGAGCATCTTTCCCACCTCACTGCTATCACCTGGAACTCCAAATTTCTTCTAGTAGCCATGTCCCACAGAAGACAAATTTCATTCTGTTTTGACTTCTCCCCACTGGTTTCAAGATATATAAATGTTTGTCTGTTTTACTATTTTCCTCACAGTCTCAGGTCTCCATTTCCTCTTCTTCCTGTCCCCCCAGAACTCCCCACATTGGTTGCTAATATTCTCAGCCTTTGAAGCCCTTTTTCCCCTGCTTTGGTCTTATCGGACCATTGGTCTCTACATATGGACTGAGGCTTTGCTTTTCTTTCCCCAATCAACTTGCTCATCCCACAAGTGGTTAACGAAGGCCCCTGAGAGCCTGCCCCTGGGTGAGGCCGTCATGGAGACGGCAGGCTAAGCTCTTGAGTCTCCAGCCTTTCGCATGGGCAAGCTGCTCATAAAACCTTTCTCAGCTTCCTTCCCCTTGCCTTTCGTCTAGGTGTTTGGCCAGGGCTGTGGTCACCTCAAGACTTGACGGTGCAGCCAGAGGATCTATGCAGGCCGTTAGTAAAATAGAATGTTGTTTAAATGCTTAAATGC